CTCTGACCTCAAGAATCATAATATAATTTTAGTTGTGGTAATCATTTACAAAAGTGACGGAAAATAGTTAAACATGCTTATATTGTTCCAGTAAGATGCCAAAGAGATAGTGACACTTTCTCTTGCACTCTGAATACCCAAATTAATCCAAGCACAAGACCTCCTAAACCAGCTGTTAGGGGCTGAATTGTGTTTTTGTATGTTGACGTACTGATTCCTAGTTCCTCAGATTAAATGTCACAGTATTTGGAGATAAGATCTTTAAAATGGTGATTGAATTAAATGAGGGCAATATGACTGGTGTCCTTAAAAATGAGGAATGGGCTGGGGAGTGGCATGAGGTCCTGAGTTCATTGCTCAGAACTGAAAAATAAAAAGGAAGAAAGAAAAAAGAGGATCACCAGCAGCTTGTATGCCAGTAGGGCCAACCATATGAAGAGGCAGCAAGTGGGCTGGAGATTTGGCTCAGTGGTACCGTGTCTGCCTCCCAAGTTCGATCCCGGGTACAAAAAAAAAAAAAAAAAAAAAAAAAAAAGGGAGAGCAAGCTTGAGGCGGGCCATGAGTAAGCTGGAGGTGCCTCAGAACCACCCAATCCTGCAGGCACCTTGATCATGCACTTCCAGCTTCCAGAATTTTGAAAAAATAAATTTCAATTGTTTAAACCACCCCGTCTGTGATACTTAATATGAAAGTACTAAAAATGTCAACTAGGAAAGAAAGGACTAATTTCTGGCCTATATAACATACTACTTATCAGGAATCAATACCCTCAAATTTCCTTTCAAATGTGCTGAGATTCACTATCAAAAAGAAAATGGAGTCTTTCTAAAACCCTTAGCAAGACATACTTGGTCTTTATAGAGGAGTTTTTGTAAAACCTGGAATATTTGATTTTATGAGGTATGGCTGGGGCTCATCATTTTTTTTTTTTTTTGTATCCAGGATCAAACTCGGGTCCTTGCCGAACTACTGAGCTAAATCCCTGCCCCTGGGGCTCATCATTTAAATTATGTGAATAATGAATGGATGTTGCAAAAACAAATGACTTCTTGTTTGAACAAGGTCTACACATATAATACTTAGAAGGAAACTTCTGAATCCAAAATATACTATAATGAGGGAGGAAAAGAGGCATCTTGGGAGCTAAGTCCAATAGTTTTTTTTTTTGTGTGTGGTACTACATATTGAACTCGGGACCTTGCGCATGCGAAGCAGGCAGTGGAACCACTGAGCTAAATCCCCAGCTCTAAGTCCAATAGTTCTAAACTTCAAAAAAAGAAGTTTCACCTGAGCCTGTTGATTATCTTGTATCCTTTGAATCACTAATCAAATTTGGTATTGGGTAAGAGGTATGACTTCCGTGAATCTGACAAATCTTGGGGAAAGCAAGATGATGCACAGCAAAAATTATTTTGTATTTAACTCAGAAATATTCCTTTTAAGTTCGAGCAATACAATTTCACAAATACCTTTTGGATAGAATCATTTGCTATTTTAAGACTTTAATCATAATATAAGCAAAATGATCTCACAAAAGGGACATACATGCATTTATTTGAAACTTTATTATATAAATTTTCATTTCTTTTAAAGATTACAAAACCTGTTCTATGACAGGAATACAAGCAATATTGTTCCAGGATTATTCTTGGATACATCTGAAAGAGCTTAGATTACACATTAATAGTATGATTTGCAAACTTCCCAGATTAGACTCTTAAGTAAAACAATTTAAAGTATTCAGTGATATTTGATACTTTACAAGCATTTTATAATTATGGCAGCAGTGCCAAGCATCTGATGTGATTTAACCACCAATAAAAGGTACAATATGTAAGAACTTGTGACATGGTACCTTGGGCTTCTGGCATGCCTTTACTAGAGAGAAACTAGTATAAAGTAAGATCATATATAATAGTAGAAAAATATTTGTGAATTTTTTCTTTTTTAAAAACTGCTTAAGTAGATACCCACCCATTCCTAACCATGGCCAAAAAATGGAAAATAATTACATCCCTTAGGTATATATCTTCCCTTTTGTTTAGGGCAAGAGTTAAGATAAACTAATACATGTATATAATTTTAAGTGTTACAAACTCATCACCCATAATCACTAAGGATGCTAATGAATGGCAATACTTTGAAGCTTTTTTAAAATTAAAAAACAAAGCTTTAGATGGTAAACTACACTTACAGAAACACAAACCAAATCTTTATCCTTATGCCCTTGCTTTGTATTTAACAGTTCTAAATACTTGAAAAACTCAATATACAGTTCATTCAGTACTATAGTGATAATAGGAGTAGGATGCTCACTTCCATTAGATATTGAACTAATCTACTTAGGACTGTTATAGTGACTCTCTTCTCATATACGTTCACACTTGGTACGTTTACAAATGGTATGTGCTCTAAAGACATTTTCATGAGGTTTGCACCTCTGAACTTAAATCTCTATAAATTTTCCTTTCCATTAATCTCTATTCAAAATGTCATATACTTTGCTAGTTACTCTGAGAGAAGTCATGGACATTTAAACAGCTTATCATGCAGTTCAAGGTTTATATGGCAAAATACTGAGGAAAGTGCCTTAAGAGGTAGGAAGTAGGCTTTCATCCCAACCCTTGGTATGCCCTGTTAGGAACAGTTAAAAGACTGGAGTCAAAGTGGTAAATCTGACACTAATAGCAATACCAGGCGTATGAAAATTAAGTTGACTTAGTACAATTCTTTGAGAACCCTCAGTCACACTGGAACCAGTTACAAGTTACTTGATCACACAGAATACAGCAGTGTCAAAAATACATAAAGCACACTGTGATACAAATTCTTCTTGGCCATCCATATTTGAGCATTATCATTCTGTAGATTCTTCACTGGAAAAAGTGGTTTAGTGTGACTCTGGAGAATAACACAGTCTCAAGAAAGTGAATTAATTCCTTCATTAATTGGTCTCCACCAACAGTCATTTGGGGAGACCTACAAAATGTAAGCAGCCTGGGGTTAAAAAGAGGACTATTTTCATTAATTGAAAAAAAATACTGAGTTGTCAATATATCTGTGAATTAAATAAGGCTCAAAGTATACATCCAGTTTAAAGTTAGTCACAGGGAGTTGGGCCTTTCAGAGGGACAGATCTCTAGGATGAGACTGGAACCTCCTGGTTTAAGCACCAAGATCACGCATGGAATCTACCTATCTGCAAATCACAGAAAATAGGCCTTTCGTTACCCTTACATTCCTAAGTCTCAAATGCTCAATGCCATGATAAGATAGAATTTACTCTATAAAAATATTGTGATGCAAGTTTAAAAATTGTAGGTCATTTATAAAGTCCAGGGAGTACAGATTACCAAAACCATGTTGGAATGTGTATTGCTGGCCTCCATGGTGATTAAACACAATACCAAGGCCCCCAAATCTTGAATACTTTACTGCCAACTCTTATCCCAGGCTGGGCCTACCCCAGTCTCTTTCCTATTAAATATATTTTGTCTTCTCTCTTTTTTTAGTGGTACCGAGAATCGAACTTGGGTCCTTGAGCTTGCTTAGGAGGCAGGTGACAGAGCCACTGAGCTAAATCCCTGGCCCTATTCTGTCTTCTCTTGAAGCCTTTGCACTCACCCACCTTCTGTTCAAATCTTTTCTGGAATAAGGATACAGGGCACACCTAAGTGGATAGCCCCATTTCCTTTGATGTCCCCTGACCCCTGTAGCAGCCACTTCTTAAAAATGAGAAGTGGATGGCCCCCAAATCCCTCTTTGGAGTGCACTTCATGGGAAATGTGGAAACTATGGCATACACACCACAACCTCTTCTCCAGACACTCATAAGTGACTTCCCACATGCTAGCTTCACAGTATCTCTACTTTGGGCCTTGCCAAAATTATTTTATTTTTGGATTATTGGGATTGTGAATAAATATATTAACATCAAATCTGTTTAAAAGAAATGTCTGATATACTTAGAAAAAAGATATCTCTATGAATCAGGATGAAATGATTCATAAAAAGCGAAAAATAAAAAAAGACAAAAAACTTACCTTAATTTATTATCATTCAAAGGGGAAGTTACAAAACACACAGTAGTATAGTTCATACTTTCCAGTATGTGTTTGGCAATGTTAAATGAAATCGATCATTCCTGATATTATTTTGTATTATAACCTAAGAAGAAGTTTGTAAGAGTCCTGATAGTTTAGCTCCTTCTTTCACAGTGAGTGAAATATCTTTAAGATTGACAATTCCTGAGAGAAGCCCCAGAAACTGGCAGCAACTGGTGGGCAGAATATTTTAGGAGCCTCGGTACCCCAACTATAGAGACCTAGAGGAATGGGATTTTGAGAAATTAATGGAAAGGTTAACCCAGCATAAGTATTACATTTATAACACACTGTTGCCCAAAGACAGTGGGAACACCAGAATCACTGATGAAATAATTTATGCCCATTAACTGCTTTTTAGAAAGCCTTCTGTTTTGTGAACATATACCTTGCTTTTCTACAACAAAACTGGCAGCTTGACTAGACAAAGAAGGCAATTATCTTTGCAAGAAATAAACTTGGCATCATATACCAGCAGAGGACTGCCCTAAGAAACATACAGTGTTTTTAACTTAGCTACTGGTCAGGTGATAATATGAAGGAAAGGCTGCATGGTGTTATGAGGAAAAAGAAACTATTGTCAATGGGGACAAGCTGAGGATTTAGTCTTTGATTTGAGTCTCAGGTTCTTTACATGCAATATGAGAAAACTTGACCAGGTGATTTATAATGATTTGTATGCTCACTTTTAGTTCTAAAAGAATATGATGAACAGTACACCTAAGTGATTAAGAGCAGTATCAGTGTAAAAAATCTGAAAATATATCTATTCTCTGTTCAGTTACATTAAAATTTGAAAAATTATAAGAATTTGGGATGACCAAGGTTTGAAACACTGAATAGAGGAGAAAATTAACATAAGAGCAGTCAGTGTAAAAAATCTGAAAATATATCTATTCTCTGTTCAGTTACATTAAAATTTGAAAAATTATAAGAATTTGGGATGACCAAGGTTTGAAACACTGAATAGAGGAGAAAATTAACAATTTTCCTTCCAGGCAAGAGAAAGTAGCTTCTTAAGTATTATCCACATATTAAAAAAATTTCAAAAAGCTTTAACTAGATCTTTTGATATTCCTCCCCTTATACGTTTTTTCCACTTAGAATATAAACATGCATTTAATTTCTATGCAATAATCATTTTATGTCACTTGGGCAAAAGGAATGTTATAGATTTCATCTCTTTAATTGGATGGAGAAGAAATTAAGAAACGATAAATGGTTTTCAAAACATTGAGATAAACCACGTTCTTCCTGGCTTGGTGTTTTTAGGGGAAGAGCTAAAGCTTCTAGTAGGAGAGTATTTCTGATGTAAATGACTTAGTATATGACTTAGAAAGACCTATTTGGGCACATTCCTGATGAGGTAAGTTAAATCACTTTTTCCTTGTGCCTATGTTTTTTACATTACATATTATTAATATATGCTAGGTAGCCTGGCAAAGACACAGGTAATGATGGATATAGAAATTCCTTTCACCAGGTAGAATTGCGGAAACTAGCAAGATAGATGTAGATAATGAATACTGTAATCAAAGCAGATCCAAGGGTCATTATGAAAATTGATCACTTCTAAAGTCAAAGGCTATAAAATCATCAGGAAGGATTTAGAAAACAATGCTGAATGTTCACTAAGCCTACTTTAGCTATGATTTCAGGTTAGAACAGATACTGTTTGATCAAGAATGTTTTATTTTCCTAGAATAAGAAAATTTAAATCCAATTTCATATAGAGGCCTATTGCCTTTATTATATTCAAATTAGTGTTTAATATAGAATATCTATTTAAACAGGAAATATCCAATAAGATTTAAATTACTTGTTGCTAAATTTTCCTTCACTAATCTCTCTACCATGACTTTAAAGGCCTTTGATGCACATGGCAAAATCCCAAATGATATGCCAAATACTAAGTATGGATACTGTGTAAGATTAAAAGTACAAGGACTACTTCCTTAATTAAGGAAGAAAGGACCCTAAGGAGTTGCAAAGTGCATGGACTAACTTCACACGTGTATTCTTGATTTCATGCCACACACATAAAACTGTCTCTACCAAAAGAGCTCTCTAGGTTAGTTTGACAGAGCACCTGAGAGCACCCGACTTTAAGAAACAAACAAAAGAACAAACCAGTGAAACAGACACGGGGAAAGATATGTACATTTTGAAAGTGTTACATTCAACAGCTGTTCCACAATCTGGCCATTTTTAGGGCTGTCCAGCAATACTGTTAATCCAGGTGAACCATTTATCCAGATTTAATAGTCGATTAATAATAGATTCCAAGTTAAACAAGGCATGTATACATTAAAGAAAGCAGTACAGAAATGTACTGTATATGAACTGTTTACAAAAACATACAAAATGTTGGATGGCACAAGGGATACAGTGCTAATATAAACGGATTGTTTAAGCTAAGTGCTTAACATAAACTGTCCATCCCTATAACTAACAAAGAATATTTAAGGGACATGAAATATTTTCTATAAAAATAATGCTATATGGTGTAGAGTACTTTATTCAGTGTATTTTAGGTGGTATTCATATGTTCATTATTTTTCTTGTTGATTCAGTGAATATATCTTCATCATGTTTCATCCAAAGCTCCAGGAAAATCTAACTTGCTAACAATCATTTAAAGCGAGAAGAGACGAAAGCAGGAGCAGCAGCAGGAGCAGCAGCATTATGGGTACCAGCTGGGACAGTGTGTGCTTGCAGGTCTCGCTCAGATATGTGCTACCTGTCGCCAGAACTTGTGCTATCAGCTTACACCATGGTACCAAATATCTCACTGAGGTCACTTCACAGGGCTGTTGAGGTGATTTTCTTAATACCTCTCCGCTGAGCAAGGGTAGAGCGGCCTACTGGTTCCAAAACTGGTGACTGATTACGGTTTAAAGCAGAATATGTAGCTGCCATGGCACCCTGAAAAAAGGAAATATAACAACAAAAATAACATGTACGCAAATATGAAGTAAAGGGTTTTATTGGCATAATGTTTCATATGCAAATGTACCTAGATTTTATTAGTTTCATAATAAAAATAATCGTTTTGGTCAAATCCTCTGATTTAACCAATGTGAGAAGACAGGGATGGACTGAAAAACCTCCAGTCCTTACTTTTCTCAGGGCTATTCAACTTTTGTCTTTGCAATCCTTTAATATGAGAGACTGCAAGGCATAGCATACTCCTTCAGTTTAGAAGGTCCATGAGCTTATCTGTCATGATTGATACTGAATAAACCTACTTATGTAGACTGACAAAATTCAAGTCATCCTTAATTCCATTACTAATATATTTGGGGGGGGGGTGGTTTGAGACAGGTTTCATTATATAGTTCAGCCTGGCCTTGAACTCCCTGTGTAACCCAGGCTGGCATCAAACTCATGCTGATCTTCCTGCCTTAGCCTCCCAGAGTGCTGGGATTACAGGCCCCACCACACCTAACTTATTACTGATATTTTGGTACACCTTGGCTTTTTCTTTTTAAGTCACCTATGTAAAAGAACTCTATACTAGAACAAGATGCAGGCTGAAAAGGAAAGGTGTTGGGTCACAGAAGGTGACATATGACTGACTGGGGCTGCTCACCTTTACTAGATGTGGTGCATCTTGCCTGTTTAGTTGGTATTGTGGCAGTTGGTCCCAGTGGACAATCCAAGGATGTCTGAGCACAAGAGCAGCAGTCAGTCTCTGATGAGGGTCTACATGAAGCATCTTTGATACCAGATCCTGTCATGAGAAAGATGAAGGAAGCTTAATCCTTTTTTGATTCTATTTTAAGGCATTTGGTACCGGAAAGCATTCTTCCTTAGATTCTAGGTCACTATTTTCCTAGTAGCAGCCATTTGAGCTCAAAGCACTTTGATCAACATGACAATTTGGAAAAAAATACTCAAGTCTCTCTTTTCTCCTACCTGAGTAACAGTAATTTTGGTATATCACAAAGGGGCAATTTATCACATTTTATGAATCTTTAAGTATTCTGTTTTTTTTCCCTCAGATTTTGTTTCCTACATTTTTGGAGGTTTATTTCTAAATAATATTAACTATTTAAGGCTTTTTTTCTGTGCTGTTGGTAATACTGAAAAGTGGAACATAAACATCCAATAATAGGAATTTAATTGGAGGGCTCTAAATGCCCACCCAGAAGATTATAGAGGCCCTATTTTTTTCACTTTCAAAAGCAACTCAAGTGCATTGCAAATAAACTGGAAAATAAAGAGAAGTAAAAGAACACAAAGAACACTCAAGAAAACCCATACTAATATTCTTCCAGAGACAATTACTATTAACAGTGCCTATCCATCAAATATCTTCCTACACATGTAATATAGATTCCATGTGGTTGCTACATGGTTTTTGCATCTTTGAAAATGACAATATAACTGTTATTTATAAAAGCTAGAGAAGTGAGGTAAGAGGTTTATGAGTTGGGGGCTAGCCCAGCATACGTACCAAGTTTGAGCCCAACCTAGACTACATAGTGAGAATTTGCCTCAAGAAAAAAAAAAAAAAGAGGCAGACTCTTGACTCTGGCCCCATGAGGCTTTTGGTTCAGTTAAGGAAAGGCAAAGAATCAATTACAAAGCAAATTAAGTTCAATAGGATGGACAAGTGCAAGGTACAGCTAGAAGAACATAAAGAGACCCACAATCTGAACTAGGTGGGCTGGCTTGGAAGTGACTTCCTAAAAGAAAAGTGATACCTGAAGGATAAGCAGAAGCTAGATTAATGAAAGGAAGGGAGAATATTGTTTCAGGTACTCAAAAGGAGTGCACTTGGAGGAAACCTCTTGGGTATGAGAGAACATGCCATAGTTGAGGAACTGACTGGACTATAGTATAGCTGCAATATGTATATATTTACTGTCAAGGAGAATGTGGAAGCCAATATAGTATGACAGGTGAGAAGGGACCAGATTAATCAGGCCAATAAAGCATTTGCAGCAAGAACATGATGCAGCCATGTTTGTAGTTCAGAGAGCTCACACTCACTAAGTATGGAAGAAAATGGATGCAGGGGTGAGGGTAGACTTGAGATTTTTAGTTTGTGGGGAATTACAAAGGACATGGATATCCAGAAAAAGTAAAGAATATGGTTTAAGATATTTTATTGTTAGAAAAAGGTAAAGGCTAACATTTAACTTAAATTTTTGTGTGTGTGGGTGCTGGGGATTGAACCCAGGGCCTCATATGTGCTAAGCACATGCTCTATCACTTAGCTATACTCCCACCCTTGCATTTCATTTTATTTATTTTATAGTACTCACCCCCTCCCTCACATTTTGGTATGTATTGAACATAGGGCCTTCACAGTGAACTATATCCATAGCCTGTTTTTATTTGTTATTTTAGACAGGGTCTTGCTAAACTGCTAAATTGCTCATGCTGGTTTAAACTTGCAATACTCCTGCTTTAGTTTCCCAGAGTGCTGGGATTAAAGGCATGTGATACCACTCCTAGCCCTAACATTTCATTTTAAATGCAGTTTAAAAACTAAATATTAAACTGGTTAACAAGCTTCACAATCTATGCCAAAAGAATCTATTAAAAATTTCGATGCGCTCTATTTCCTTATACAATCACCTCAACACCACCTTCCATCTCTAAAGAAAAATCAGTAAGCACTTTTACCAATGATTCTTCATCTCTATGTTTTTCTTATTTTGAAGTGAAAAGCTAATTTTTTCAAGACTTGTGTGAATAAAGTGAAAGTAGAGCAGAAAAGGAAAGCAAGTCAGAGCTACTGGATAGCAGATTTAGGGAAGGCTTTTCAAAGCGATTTCAAGCAAAGTCTATAAAAATATGCTACTGTTCACTGTAAAAATGAAACCCATTTCTTCATAATATGAATCAAAACTAGAATATGGTATAATTATTCTAGGGAATGAGGGATTTGGAATTAGATACTTAAAGTGCCCACACATATCTGGAATATTAAGCATAGATAAGTTCACACCAAAACTGTGGTCCTTGGTTTCTTTCTGTAAAAAAGATACTACTATGTACAAGTTTGTGGTGAGGATTCCACGAGATTATTTAGGTAAAGTGTAGTGTGAGGCACACAGCAAGCAGGCAGAAAACTCATGAGGAGTATCACCATTTTTATTTATCACGTTTGTTAGTAAGAAATAGTTTTAGATACATAGATATAAGGCTAAACCAATGTCTTCTGGGAAAGAAAAGTAAATGGCCCATTTTGGAGTTTATTTAGTAACATCACTTCAACAAGCTACTTAATAAGCAAAAGTCTCTAAGTGATAGTACTTCTTACCACAGCTTATGACAAATCATTTTCTTAAAAGTGTGTAACAGGGATGAAGATTAGCTCAGTAGTAGAGTACATGCTTAGCATGCTTAGCAAACTCAGGGGCCCTGAGTTTGATTTCACAAAACAAAACAGAACAGAACAGAACATAAGAGTTTGTAATAGGAATTCATGCTTACCTTTGCTGTATCTGAAACAGAATTCCAGTAACCACCACTGAGTGAGAATTTTCCGCTACCTATTCGTGCCAATATTTCCTCTGGTGTATCATCAGGACCATTTGCAAATGGAGTGTAACTAATTTATAATAAAATTAAAATGTTAATGAACAAAATTCCTTTTGGGTTGGTAATCTTTACATATATGTATATTTGTTGCAGTTTCTAAAAGTACTAACTCAGGTAATGCAATACTTTATTAAAAATCTATCAAAGTGAAAAAAAATCAGTAAAAGGAAATGCCATAGACCAAAGAATAGGTTATAAAATATTAGACTTAACATACATGATATTTCAATCATAACACATTATAGAGGAAAACATTAAAAATAGTATATGTTTATTATATAGTACAAAAATATGGAAAAATAAATTTAAGGCCTCAAGACATTAACGATATAGCTATAAATATATTATTATAGGACTATATATATATTAGCATGAGAAAACATAGAAAGGCATCACAACATAATGATTTTTAAAAATAACTATACAGTTTAGGGAAAACATTGATGCATAAATGCTTATAATGTATGGTACACACTCACCCAGTAAGCATTGTATACAGGAGGACACCAAGACTCCATATATCACAAGCAGCATCATAGCCTTGTCTTTTTAAAACCTAGAGAAAGTAAAAGATTAGTGTTACTATACATTGCTGTTTTTATTGTTTGACAAATTTACTGATTATTTTAGTTAAGACATTCATCTCAGTCATTTCTCTCTCCTCATTTTGACCTTAGATTAGTATTTCATTTGGGTCAATAAAAGAATATGTACGAGAGGGATATTATTTTAACAAATAGTAAAATGGACAAACATTAATAGTTTGCCTGTTATATAGGCAAACTTATTTTATAAACTAAGTTAAAGTTAAATTCATGAATTTTGATACAATTAAATCATGCAAGAACTAATAGCTCTATATATATTTCCATTGTTTTACTTGTTGGATAGGCTGTGAATTGAAGTATATTTTCCAAATCAAGGCATATAAGAAAAACTTCAACAGAACATGATTAACAAGGAAATATATGATTCTCATTCTAGAACACTGTACTAATAATTCATATATAGATATATAAAGTCTGGTATTTGAACATTTATTGCTGCTGTAGGTAAATAGAGAAATATAGAACAAACTGAAGATAAATTTTTCATGTTAATGAATTTATACTTTGTATGGAGTTATAGAAATGGTTACAAGTAACAATAATTTTTAGAACATACATAACCCAGTACAAATGATATAGTGAAAAACACTACTTATATGTTGATTTGCTCAAGCATTTAACAATCACCAACTATTCTTAGCCATGAGCTATGACAAATAAACTAATTTCTTAAAAAATCTGAATCTGGCAGTGGAAATAACACATAACTATTCAACATGGTAAGTATTACAAATAAATAATACTTTAAGCTCTATGGATTCAGTGATGAAGTAATTTTTTCTTTTTTTTTTATTTTTTGCAGAGCTGGGGGTCAAACACTTGCTAGCCAAGTGTTCTACCACTGAGCCACACCCCTAGCCCAATTTTTTTCTGATACTGGGGGAGATGAAACACTAGATGGCAGCCAGTTTGTATTGGACCCATAAGTAAGAACTTGCTAGGCAAAGGGAGGAAGTGGGGGAGGGCAGATGATATTCAAAGGGTAGAGCAACCTTAGTAATTAGGCAAGAATTTCAGAGTGGCCAGAACTTCAGGTAGAATATAAGAGACTGAAGAGCTTTTGTAACATCTTTTTTTTAAAAAAAATTTTTGTTTTGCTTTTGTAGTATCTTATTCAGGAATTTAGATTTTTTTCCGGTAGGCAATCAGATGTCATTAAAACGTTAAACAGGGAAATAAAGGGCAAGCATTTTACCCTAATATTTTAGTAAACCTTTGATTAAACAATTACTATTTTGTATTAAATACAATAAACAAGTTCTTAAATACAACAAAACACCGCAAGCAAACTCTCACATTACCTCTGGTGCAACAAAATTTGCAGTATAACAAGGAGTCATGAGAAGACCATTTTCTGCTCTTAGCTGTTTTGCAAAGCCAAAATCACAAATTCGAATAGATTCTGGATTACCAGATTCATCCACATAAAGAATGTTGCTAGGTTTCAAGTCTCTGTGAACCACCTAATTGAAATACGAATTAAAGAGTTATAGTAATACTACATTTGAACTTTATTCACAAACTGTCAGGCAATGCACTTACACTGACATAGACCTAGGGCGAGGAGGAGGAGGAAAAGAAAATAGTAGTTACCTCCTCCTCCTTTATCCAGTGGAGGGGTGAGGGTTACAGAGAAATGCATTAGCATTAATAGAGTATCTATGTCAGGTTATTCAATTGTTTCACAATATTTATTCAGTGCCTGCAATGTACCAGGGTATTTTTATAAGGAGCTGGGGTGAATAAGACCCATAACATTGTCTTTCCATGCTAGAAGCTTGCACAGAAGTGGGAGGGTAGAAAAGAGGAAGGTTGAAGAGATGGGGCAGAGCTGGAAAGGTCACTTTAACTAGCATGGTAAGGGAGTATCTCTAGATGGGACAACATTTGCATCAAGACCTGAAGAACAGTAAACAGTAAGTGAGGGGAATAAAATAATTTTTAAAAGTGGGAAAGATCATTCTAAGTAGAGGGAACAGTATGTACAAAGTAGATATACAACAAGTATGTATTGGCAGACTAAATAGAACAGGCATGTTGTTTAGGAGAAAAAAAAAAAAGCCTAAAATCCAAACCTGGGCTTTAAGTATTTCTTATTTGATAAACAAATGAAGATGTCATATATGCCAAAAGGTAACTTGTAGTTAGAGTTTTATATTATTTTCCTCTTTTTTTCTGGTAATGGGGATTGAATCCAGAGCCTTTGCACTAAGCTATGTACCTAGTCCCTTTTTATTTTGAGATACGGTCTCACTAATTTGCTAAGTTGCCCAAGCTGGGCTCAAACTTGTGATTCTCCTACCTCAGCCTCCCAGAGTGCATGCCTGGGATTATAGACAGACATGTGCCACCATGCCCAGCTTATTTTCCCCTTTTAATGAACTACTTGAATACTTCTTTAAAATAAGCTTCTCTGACACTCCCTTTTAGTCTTAAGAGTTTCTTCCATCATCATATTCTGAGTCTAGATTCTAATCAATCATTTTAGATTTAGAGCCTAACATTCAAAACATTAATTATCCTTAATACTTTACTAATTATTGATAAGGCACTGGGAAAAGAACATGAAAGACTTAGATGACTGAAAAGTCATACATTCTTATTGAAGATTGAATTATACTAACTCAGAAGATTAAATTTTAATTTCAGTTAGCAGGCAGCCAACACATTCCACTTGTTGGCTTTTAAAGTCAAAGACAAAATGAGAAGACTGAATTGAAAAACAAACTCCTTAAGAAGTATTTTTCATATACATGTATTTAAATTTGTTGTACACTATAAATAATATACATTTCTGTCAATCAAAAAATGTAAGGAAAATAAGAGCAATCTTTCCCCCTTGCTTTCTACCCCTCTTCAATACTGTTTTTTCCTTCCCTCTTCTTCTCCCCCTTTTCTTTGCAGACTCCTTTCCTTTAAAAACATGATTTTTTTTGGTTACTTACTAAATTTTTGCCCTGTCAGAATTAATTTCTTTTAAAAGAAGGATTTTCTGGCCAGTTACTAAGAATCTATATTCTAGAAGAAATGAGAGCATCCACCAGCCTGGGACCAGGTGACTACCTAGCCTCCTTCACTGTAAGGATTTCCTTTGTTGTTGTTGATGTTGCTGTCTTTGATACTGGAACCCATGGCTCCTCTCAAACTAGACAAGCACTCTACCCCTGAGCTACATCCCTAGTCCCAATGCTTTCCTTTTATTTGTGCATATAAACCAGGATTTCCTGTTCCTGTTTCTAACTTAAATTGAGCCTGATTTTTAAGGTGGCCTAGCAGAAATGGTACTGTTTGCAAGGTTAGAAGATCTCACCTTTTTCTTGGAAAGCATGAGATTTAATATAAATAAGCGAAAATTTCAAAGTAGCACATCAAGCTCAATGGGAAAAGTTATACAGAGGAAAACCAATAGAAATAATGAAGCTAACAGGTATTTTCTATTGCATGTAGAAACTTCGATATTTGTAATTTTAGCTCACGTACTAAGAAAAAGAAATGTGTATATGTGTATATTAGTAGTGTTAAAAAACTTACCCCTTGTGCATGAAGATACTCAACAGTTTTGGTTATAGTAAACAGGACAGCACTGGCCTCTCGTTCAGAGAAAAATTTCTGTCTAAGAATTTTATCCAGCAATTCACCTCCTTTCATAAGTTCTGTTACTACATACACATACTTCCCATCATCATATACCTATAAAATTCAACATCAAAACAAAATATTATTTGAAGCTTTATGTGTCTCAAAGATTAAAAGATTAAAGAGAAATTAAAACTTGTTTTAAAATCAAGAAAAATGAACTTGTCACAAGTGGAGGATAGAAAATTTGCAAATAACTATGTGCTCAAAATATTAAAACTGGGATTACTGAGATTGAATGTCAAAAGTATATCCTGCAATTTCCTTCTATGAAGGTCCAGGGGTTTAGCTCAGTGGTTCCGCTGCCTGCCTTGAAAGCGCAAGGACCCGAGTTCAAATCCCAGGACCAATAAAACCCAAAAACCAAAAAACAAACAACAACAAAAAAATTGAAAAAAATGTAACTTGTTTAATTTCCTTCTGTGAAACTTAATTCACAGAAATCAAAGCAAGTATGGGCATTGGAAACAAAGGGGCTCTGAGTATATGTTCTTAGGGTTTGGTTTTCTTCTTGATCTCTTTCTACCTACTGATGAGAGTGGGGACAGATATAAGGACACTCTTGTGATTTTCCTACAATGTCTGCAAAAGTAGAACTTCTGTATTGATACACACAAAAATGGAAGAATTATTGGCTACCTAGTTTTGATTAAACTGAAAGACAAATTTAGCCAGAAATTAAGAAGATTAACTAGTAAAGATAAATTCCATCTAAGCACAAAGAAGCATAGCAGAGAAGTATATAACTGAAATAATCCCTTAATTAAATTTCAAGTCCTTGTTATTCCCCTCTCACTACAGACTTACTGGAAACCTTTTCTTAGCTTCATAAGAGATATTGGATACTGTATAGGTGCTAGGGTCCCAAATATGGAGAAAATGAAGTAACTGCACTCAAAATTTTTACTCTAGAATGAAGAAAGACATATAAACAAGAGGAAGAAAGCATTAGAGATGCTGTAATAAAAGTCTGGGGAAAATTTTAAAGATTTTGGAATTTGAGATGAATGAAATGGACAGTTTAGGGAGTTTCCAAGGCTGGGTTGAAAGTATTTTTAAAATTTTCTTTTTAAATTTCTTGGTTGAATTCTTACAGATAATGTTAATTAAAGAGTCAGATTGAGCAGCTTCACATTTTAATGCAAGTTAATCTCCTTCTCAAATTAATCTGAGGAAAGTGGAGTTCTGAAAACACCCAGATATGATCTTTGAGGCTACGTGAGTGCTAGTAGTGAGAATGCTACCCGGAGAATACATGTCCTCTGCCAATACTGTTATAATAAAAGCTATAGGAATCATATAGGTAGCAGGATATCATGACAGCCCAGGCAAAGGATACCTAGGGGTGGTAATGGGACAGGGTAGGCTTCCTAGAGGAAGGAGTCCCCTAGCATAGCCTGAAATGTGTGGTAATTAGCCAGGTAAAAAGATGGGAAATGATGTTCCCAACTAGGGGAATCTTTTTGTTGTTGTTGTTGATGTTTTTTTTGGTACTGGGGATTGAACTCAGGTCCTTGCATTTGCAAGTCAGGCCACTGAACCGCTGAGCTAAATCCCCAGCCCCTAAGGGGAATCTTAAATTCAAAGTTAAGCAGCATGAGAAAATGAGGCATTCCCCCCCCACCCAAAAAAAAGGTACATACTATAGCATGGCCGGAGGACAGGGTAGGTGAGGAAGTGTGAAAATAGGGGAAGGCAGGGCCTTGAGAGGCTGGGGAGTATGAATTATAGGCAGGGAAGTAACACAGGTAGATATGAGCACTCTCTGGCAGTAATGTGGAATATTACTATTGGACATGTTTATATATATATATTCAAGCAAATGGAAATATTAAAAACAATAATGTTAAAATACTTCTTTCTTTCTTTTTTCTTTTTTTTTTGGGGGGGTAACAGGGATCAAACTCAGGACCTTGCGCTTGCAAGGCAGATGTTGGCATCATTGAGCTAAATCCCTAGCCCCATAAAATACTTTTCTTAAAGAAAAAGTAGAAAATTAATTACATAAATGTATTTTTCCTTATAAATTGAATGTCATATACATAGTTCTCTAATCTACTTTTTTTTGTGGTGTTGGGAACGATCCCAGGGCTTCACATATGTTAGGCAAGCACTCTATAACTAAGCCATTTTCCCAGTCCTCAAACTTACGCTTTAAACCTATTATACCAAGGTTTTTGTCTGTAACGTTTGAAAATATCCCAAATGTGAGTTAAGACAACTGACTCACATGATCCTCATTAAAGAATATACTTACATCCTTTAAAGTAATAATGTTTGGATGCTGTCCATAACGAAGAAGAATTTCAATTTCTTCCGTTGGGTCTCTCTTGCTTTTATCAATAATCTAAAGGCAAATATTTATCATAAAATCTCACAAACAGAACCTTAAATGGTTATAATCACATACCTTAGTTATCATCTTATGTAAATAATGTATATACATGCCATTTATCAGTCAGATTTATTCAACTACCTGGTCAGACTATTTAATTAGAAAGGTAGATTTGTTAATAGATGGCAAGGCTGTAAATTCTAATCCATGAGTCACATTACCACCAGGTTTCTCTAACATAACACATCCTTTCTTCCATGTGTGAACGCTTTAAACATTTGGGAATACAGTCAACTTCTAACTCCCTATTAATACAGACAATTAAGAGCTAGATGTATCAATGACATCACCAATGTTAAACATCTGTTTATGGAATTGATTTTAAAGTATTTTAATGAAATATCTCATTAGTTGTAAGCTACTTATAAAAATTAACAATTAAGTAGAAAAAGCTCATTTTTGAAGCTGAGAAAGGTATATAGAAAACCACATCTAGAATTTTACTTGACTAGAATTCAGCTTATTATAATAAATCCCTTTAAAACACTAACACATGCTTCCAACCCGTACCTGCTTCTTAATGTTTTAACCTGTTAATAATATATATAATATATGTATATATATGTATTTTTTTGAGACAGGGTCTTGCTATATTCAGACTGGTCTTGAACTCACTATGTAGCCCAACTTCGCTTTAAACTTGCAGTGATCCTCCTGCCTCAGCCTCCTGAGGAGGCTTCCATGGGAATATAGTTCCACATATAGATCTTTGACAATCACTAGTCCAGATATTTAAATTTACCTTAACTTTTTATAACAAAAGACACTTAAAATATATATGTATGTATGTATGTATGTATGTGTGTATGTGTGTGTGTATACGTATATATGTATATATACGTATACACGCGCGCACACACACACACACACAACACATATATAAATAAAATTTTCAGTTATGGGAATTGAACCTGAGCCTACTGACCTACATTCCTGGTTTTCTGTAATTTTTTAAAATTTTGAGACAGGGTTTCATTAAGTTGCTCTAGGCAGACTTGAACTTGTGATCATTCTGCCTCAGCCTCCCAGCATGCTGGAATTATAGTGTGTGCCATCAGACCCAGCTTATGTTTTTTATTAACATGCTAATTTTATGAAATACTGTGTTTCAATTGTAATATTTTTATATATAATAATATATTTTGATATAAAAAGGCACTTTTACCAAAGGAAAGAGTGTAATTTTTAACTGGTGGTGATAAGCATGAATAAAAACTTTTAGCCTTGCATTTTAAATCTAAGAATATTTACCTTCACTGCGAACTCCATGTTTGTGGCTTTGTGTATACATCTTTTGCAAACAGAGTAGGAGCCAACTCCAATATCTTCTTTTACTTCATATCCATCAGTAAACTGAATACTGTTCCTATGCAACTGCTACAAATAAAATTATAAACTGATGAGTTCCACAATGCCTCAGTGCATTTTATAATTGGGTTGTACGTTAGTTAGTATGCATTGTTGATACTAATTACAAATGAGTATCAGTAAGAATTTAAAAATGATTCTTTATAGTACATATTTTTCTACAAGTACATTTTTATAGTAAGAAATGTGCCTTTTAAAAAGTTTATGTTAAAAAGAAAAAATTAAATATGTACAAAAGAAAAAGCAGAAACACTTGATAAAGGACCTATAATCTTGTCTGTGATTTCACAATATTCTACTCCCCAGACAACTGTAAGTTTTTTTGAAGCACCTGTGGACATAAGGAGAAGTTTGAAATTCTAGTGTAGAAGAAAAGACTCCTTAGGAGGACTGAGAATTAGAACATCTGGATTGTTTCAGAGGTACCACCTACAAGCCATGTAAACTTGTGCCTGTGTATTCTCAAAGGTTAATGGGGAAGATTAAATAAAAACAAGGCATTTGCAAGTGTTAAGAGTTATCATTTTATACTTTCAGCACTTAGTCCTCCTTTCCTCATCTTCAACTTACAGCTTTAAGGGGTGGGGGTTCAGCTCAGTGGTTCTGCCACCTGCCTTGCAAGCTCAAGGACCCGAGTTCGATCCCCAGTACCAAAACAAAACAAAAACAAAACCCAACTTACAGCTTTATAAAACTTCTGCTAACATATGCTGCATGGTGAAAAGCAAATTACTGTTTCTATAAACAGGCTGAAGGAAGTTGTGCTGCTTTTCGCTATACTGATATGAGGCCTTCCATGCCTACAAGTTTTGTGTAAGGTAGAGCTTGAACTCTGTAGATATTCAGTTTGTGGTTTCTCTGTTAGGTACAGCAGTTATAATTTAAAAACTTGCCTGGAATTCATGTGCTTGCATAGTAAAAGGGACAGACTACAGTAACCTAAGCTTTGTTTAAAAACCATTTTAAGCCAGGGATTTAGCTCAGTGGTTCCGCTGACTGCCTTGCAAGTGCAAGGACCCAAGTTCGATCGCCGGTACCAAAAAGAAAACAAAACAAAACAAAAAAACATTTTAAATTGGTTTTTTTGGAAAGTAGAAAGATGTCTTACTTATGAAAAAAAACTTCAGAGCAAAAGTAACTTAATGATCAAGTAAATCTAAGTGTTAGTAGTAGTAACCTAAAAACAATGTTTTGTTTCAAAAGGTATACAGTATCTAGTTCATCTATGATTAAAAAGATGAATTAAATTTTAAAAAATGTATTTTAATTGACATTTAGTAACTGTACATATTTATGGCATGTAGTATGACATTTTAATACATGCATACAATATGTAATGATAAGATCAGGACAAACTAAATTTACTTTTGCATAATACTAGCAGGGGAAGAAATCTAACATTTATACTACTTGTGTTACTCTAACAATATTTAATTTACTAGTCCAGTTTCCTATTATCCCCCTCCCCCACTAACTTGCCCTTGTGATCTTTACTTATTTTTTCTGCAACTCTGATAAACAAGATAAAGAGGTATGGGTACTTTAAGGCAGTACCCACAGCCGTTTCTTCTTCTTCTTTTTTTTTTTTTTGGTACTGGGGATTGAACTCTGGTCCTTGTGCTTGCAAGGTAGGTGGTGGCCACCACTGAGCTAAATCCTCAGCCATTTCTTCTTCTTCTCTCACTTTTTCTTTAGCCATTTCTTCTTAATGACAAAGGGGCACCAAAAAAACAAGGATACAAAACTTGGGAAACAGGATTTGGGTTAATTTTTAGTTCTTTTATCTTTCTAAGACAAAGACTGGTAAACTACGGCCTATGGGACAAATCTGGTTCACTGCCTGTTTTTATAAATTAAGAATGTATGTATGTATGTATGTATTTTTGGAGATGGGGCCTTGCTTTGTTGCCTAGACTGGCTTCAAACTCTTGAACTTCTGGCCTTAGCTTCCAAAGTGACTGGGACTAGAGGCATGTGTCACCAGGACCAGCTTGTAAATAAAGTATAATTGGCACAGTCATGTCTGTTTATGTACTGTCTGTGGCTGCTATGCTACATTAGCAGAGCTGAATAGCCAGTGAGAAGAAATACAGCTGCAAATATTTATTTCCTGACCTTTAACAAAGAAAGTCTGCTGATCTCTACTCTAAAGTATCAAGGAACCAGTAGACCTCAGTCCATCACAACAGACCTGAAATAGGCTGGGGATGACAAATACTAGGCTTGACAAACATTTTGAGGCACAGGAGAGGGGACAGACAAGATGATGACGTTCATCTTAATTTTCTTAGAATTTCATTTTCATGTCACATAGGTATCTATGATTTTGGTTCATGCAATCTTTTCAGGGGCATATGAAAGGAATTTCTAAGAGTAATGTTAATGATATAAAATGTATTTTAAGCTGTTCACTTAAAAGTCACCGATAATCTGTATCTTATTACTCATATAATGAAATATGTCTTACAGCATTTCAAATCTAAAATGATCAAGGAATCCACTCACCTGAACAATTGAATGTACACCAACTGTCTGCATAGCTTGGCTTTCATCATCTGAGGTAATAGCAACAAAACTAAACCCCCGAAAAAGCTGATGTGCATTAGCACTAGGTGGAATCCCAGGGGAATCTGAAATGAGTAAGAAATCACTAGGAAGATCCCTTTGAAAGTTGATGGAAGGAAGAATCCATGAAATTATGATTTCTCTTACTTAATCTAGAGTTCTCAGGCACCCATTACATACACCTTGATGTCCAGGTTAACTCAGTAAGGCCTGTCATCACATCTGTCCTTATCACTTATTGCCACCACTATTCTAATACCCTAGTTTCCCAGAGCCTAGAAAATAGCTAGCTCATTCAAAGAGTATAATACATCTAAGAACTACTGGGCTAATGGCATTCAAAATTAGCACTGAACCACTGAGCTTCTTTAAATTAACGATGGACATTTTATCTGTGATGTCCAACATGGTAGTCAGTAGCCACATATGGCCACTGAGCATTTGAACTGTGCCTAGTGTGACTGAGAAACTAAATGTTTAACTAATTTAATTAGCTATATGTGGTTACTGGGTACCATAATTAGGCAGTGCAGCCTGAATGATATCCTATGAATGTTATGCTCTTAGTTGGGGGGAAACACAAGGCTAATAAGAAGCAAATTTAGGAAATTTTAGGATAGCATAAAGAACTACCCTGGAAAAGTTCTAAATGAACGAGAAAAAAAAATCTAATGCCTTGTATTTGAGTTTTCATGTTTTTTTTTTCCTCTTTACCTTTGGGAGTTTTTGCAGTAAACTCAGGATCAAAATAAAATGTATCTTCAGGCCTGCCAGTTGCAGGTTTAAATGGTGGATGGATTTCTCTTCTATATAGTTTCTGGAGGAAAAAAGAGAAACTTAGGTAATGTATTAATGATAAGAAATTTCAAGCAAATTTTCATTCTATACTTACATTCCAGTCTATTGTTGAGAAAAATGAGTGTCTTTTAATTTCTTCAACTCCATCTGGTCCTGCACCTATCAAAAGTTGATTGATAGTTTTATTTCAAGGAGAAATATCTATCTATCTATCTAAGTCTTTGCTTTTAATATTTTTCTGAATACTTGATAATAACACTATAAAAACAAATATCCACATCTCCAAAAAATAAAGCCAAACACCAACAAACACAAAAGAAACTAATTAAAAATTTTACCTAATCTGTTTGCAGGATTTCGTTTGAAAAGCATACGTAAAAGACTCTGGGCTTCAGGACTCAAAAACTGTGGCATCCCGAGTTTGGCTCTAAATAATAAATCCACAAATTAACATTTTATTTTTGAGGTATCTTTATTTTTATTTTAAAAATTTTAAACTTTTAATTTTTAAATACTTGTAGATTCACACTCAGTCATGAGTAATGATAGAGATAGATCATCTGGACCCAGTTCCCTTAATGGTAATATCTTACAGAACTATACCTTTACTAATCTTAGCACTATGAGGCTAATGCAAGAGAATTACAGGTTCAAGCCCAGTTTGGGCAACTTAGCAAGACCCTGTCTTAAAATTAAAATTACAAAGGGATGGGGATGTAGCTCAGTGCAAAAATGCTGGGTTCAACCCCCAGTACTGCACATTACCACCAGGGTGTTGATTTTGACACCAACCTCATTCACATGACCCCAGTTTTATTTGTGCTTATGTGTTTGTGTGTTTTTAGTTCTATGCCCTTTTATTATGTGCCTAGGCTCCTGTATAGATGTGTCACAGTTCATTTATCATTTCACCTATTGAAGGACATCTGAATTGTGTCCACTCTGGAGCTATTATTAATAAAGCTGCTATAACATTCACATACAGATTGTGTGACCACACTAATGGAATTTTAGTCCAATATCTTTTGGTGGACTTTCTTATCTTTCAGAAGTTTGCAAAGAGCTACTCACTACTCTTAATATTCTCACTATTGTGAGAATAAGGTCATCTTTCTGCCTGTTAACCCTTTTTAACAAGCAATGGGATTGGAATCTATACCAATGGTTCAGAAACTGTAGCTTTTGTACCCTTTTTCAAAGGGAATTTAAGAAACCCAGTATTAACAACTGTGAAGAGAACCTGTGCTTCATATGTCACTTTGCCCCTTTCAATCCTTTTAATGGCTGCTGCAGGGAGGCAGAATTGATGGGAAAAGAGTTTGTGGAACACTGATGACTCTGTTGTACAGTCTGAAAACCACTGGCCTGGATGAGCTTAAGGTCTCTTTTAGCTATAGTATTTAATTGTATTCTTTCTCCAAACCTACAAATTAAAGAAACCAATGATCCTATAACTATAACAATAATAACAGAGCTGGAGAAAATGGCTAGCAGACAAATTCCCTTTTCAGAAATAGATCCACTTATTATTCTGTGAATTGTTTCTGAGTTATTATGTGTCAGACACTACTTAGTACTGTGGACATAAAGATAAAAATAGGCCCTCATGGTCAGCAGGGAAGATGGATATGATAACCTTAGTACACTAAGAGACAAATCCAGAAGGATATTTGTAAAGAATGCTAAGAGAACAGTAGTGGATACCTAATTTAATATGGAACAATGTGAAAGGCCTGCAATACAATCTAAAAGTTGAAAATTTACTCATTTGGCCAGGGTTCCCCAAAATTTTATTGGACAATATTAATCTCTAGATATTTAGCAACAACAATAAAACTTTAATAATCCAGCCAGTTTATGGAATGCTATCGATTGTACCCCCTTGTTGGAGATATTTAATAATACACAATTCATAAAAAAGGCTGAGAAATCTAAAGAAATTATTATTTTCTGGACATTTGTCTCTAGTACCTCACTTTTTTTTTTCTTCCAGAGAATACTTGTTAACTCTAAGGATAGCAGGGAATGATTTGGAATAGAAAAAGGTAGTAGGCACTCTACTTTGGAGCATGGTCTAGTAGTGTAGATAAGAGGTCTCCATGGCCTGACCACTGTGAGCAGTGCAATGCAGAGAAAGGGCTGGAACAGCGAAATAGTTCAGACATAAAACTGAGACAATGCTTGAATATGTAAGAGGGAGGAAGACATCAAGAATGATTCGCAGGTTACTGGCTTGGGAAAGAGGGTACGTGGAAATGCTAATTAGGAGTATAAAAAGAGGAAAAAAATATCCAGTAAGCAGAGATAAATTTATTTAAAAATGTGAAGTCATGCACACTATATATTTTTGGGAAGGCTAATCAGGTAAGTGGAAATTCAATTCTGGTGCTTGACGATTTGGGAACAATTAAAATGTTGAGAGTAGTCATAGGAAAGACTAAAGTCAGTTGAGGAAGTGAGTATAGAGAGAAAGAAAAGCACATAAGAGATTGAACCCTGGGGGAGAGGACATTGAAAAGGTACTCTGAAAAAAAAAAAAAACAATCTGGGCATTAAAACTAATTAATATAGAGCTGAGGGTGCAGTTCAATGGTACAGTATGTGTTCAGCATGCATGAGATCCTCAGTACAAAAAAACAAAAAAAGAATGCCAGGTGTGGTTGAGTATGCCTGTAATTCCAGCACTTGAGAGGCCGAGACAGGAGGATTGCCATGAGTTTCAGGTCATTCTCTGATACGAAGTGAGTTCAAGACTATCCTGAAGTAGCAATACTCTATTTCACCCACCCCCAGGTAACAATTTTGTTTGTTTGTTTGTTTGCTTTTTGAGACAGGGTCTCACTATGAAGCTGAGACTGACCTGGAACTCACTATGCAGCCCAGGCTGGTCTCGAACTCACAGCGATCCTCCTGCCTCAGCCTCCTGAGTGCTGGGATTACAGGCGTGCAGCACCATGCCCGACCCCAGGTAACAATTTAACTAAAAACAGGTTAGAGAAATAAGCACAAAGAGAATAAAGAAAAAAAACCTGTACTCTTAGGAAAAGACTGGCCTTCACACTGAGTTATATCTCCAGCCCTTTTATTAATTTTTTAAATTTAGGGATAAGGTCTCAACAACTCATCATGTTGCACAGGCTGAACTTGACTTGCCATACTCCTGCCTCAGCCTTCTAGAATGTTGGGATTACAGGTATGTGCCATCACATCCAGCTCAGAACTGGTTTTAAATCTTTTGTTTGTTTTAAATCTATTCAACTATCAATGACACGTGTCTGGTGAACACTTCCCAGCCAAGTGTCATCTCAGAAATAAGCCACACAGGCTCAGCATAAGCATACCTGAATACCAACTGTTCAACAACACTCCCACTCAAGTAATTATGCTCTTATAGATGATGTCAGTCTACTTATGGACCTGAAAATCTGCCAGCTATTAAACTCCCTTCCCTTAAATCCTATATAAGATCAGTGGTCTACTCTCTGCCTGGGGGGACTCTATGAGACCAACACTGATTCTCTTGTTATAAGGAAACAATAAAATTAGCTTTATGTTCTTTGTTCCAGATATTGAGAGGTGGTCTCTTCCCCTGACAAGATAAATTCAGAAAGCAGAACAACTGACTTGGTTTTGACATGTAAAAGCAAGGAAAAGTAGGGGGTAGGATATTCTAGATTAAAAGAAATTTAAGAAATATAACCAAATGGAAAGTGTAGACTTGATTTGGATCCAACTGTAAAACAAAGAGAATCTGAAAAATTGGGTTAGGGATTGGTGTTAGGTTATATTGTTATATGTGGTTATATAACAAAATATCCATATTTTTAGTAAGGCAAACTGAATTAAGTAGATGAGAAATGACATGTCTGGAATTCTTAAAATATTTGAGTTAAAAAGAAAAAAGGAATAGATAAAGAAAATAGATAAGGAAAAGTAATAGATAAAGAAAATCCTGACATTGAAATTGTGCGACGAATATCTATTTATGTTCATTTTATTATTCTATTTTCAGAATTTATATTTGAAAATTTTTATAACTAAAGAAAGAAAAACAAGCATAGGAGCAATGGTTAAGCGAAAAAGAGACCAAAAGAGGAATGGTTCGAGAAGCAGAAGATGAGCATAGGAAAAGCAAACGGGGTGGGGAGTAGTCAATAGTGTCAAGTCCTCTGCAGAGACTTTCCTTACTGGTTCATTTAAAATGGCTCATGTTCCTCGGCCCTTCACTCACTTATTATGGGGCTCCCCAACTGAGTAAAGTACCTCAGCTTATCTCTATAGTTCCCATTATTATCTGAAATTATTTGCTTAAATATTAATTCCTCACCGTCTCCATTAAAATGTTAGCTCTGTAAGACCATTAAATATCTCAGTCTTGTTCACACTGTATCTCCAGTACATGTACCAAGAACTCAATTACCTGTGGAATGAGTGCTGTGAATAAATGGCAGAGTCAACTCTGACAATCTGCAACAGGTTTTAGCAACCAGAAGACCACTGATAACCATAGTGACAGTAGTTTCAGGAGAGGGGGATGACTGCCTAAAACAAGTCCCCAAAATAGTAACAGAAAGCACAGACTACTCTTTGAAGAGACCTTGTATTCAAAGGGTGCAGGAAGATGGTATAGTAACTTGAAAGGAAGGCCAGTGAGAGGGTTTGGTTTTTTGAACACTACAGAATACTTGCTGGCTGAAAGGAGAGGACCAGAGTAGATGGAATGGTGAAGATTCAGTTATTAAAGTTCAGTGAACGTTTACTCAGTTAATGTAGTATTATTTTTAAACATTTATTGTGAATAACATAAGTCAAGAGAAAAAAAAACAACTCACCAGACAAACAAAAAAACCACCCAAAGTACACAGCTCAATGATTCACCATAAAGTGAATAGTCATCTGGCCAAGAAATAAAACATTGCCAGAACCCTTCATCCACTGTAACCACCTTCCTTATTTTGCCTCCAGCTTTTATCATCTAAATATGGACCTTAAAATACGTGTTAGTTTTGCTTGTTTTGTAAACTTTATAAATAGAATCATAGCATTTATTCTTTTGTGTATGAACTTCTTTTGCTCAATGTTCTTATGAGATTTATTCAAGTTGTCTGACATAACTGTGGCTTGTTCATTCTCTCTGCTGTAAGGCATGGTACATATGCCCATAAGCCAAAAGCCTGGACCTGTTTTTGTATGGCTCGGAAGAATTGTTTTATGTTTTTACAGGGTTGGATTAAAAAACACAAATAAAGAAGAATATGTAACAGATTGTGTGGTCTGCAAAACCTAAAATATTTACAGATAGCAATAAATGCAATTCTTACTATATCCAACTGTATAACTATACCATAATTTATTATTATTTTTTACTGGTAATGATCATTTCTACTATTGCAAATAATACCAAATAATGAACAGTTTTGTACTTGT